GCCTTTCCTGCTATCAGTATAGATGTTGATGTAAATTTGAGATTAAATGGGGACAGATGAGCAAAAAAGTATGGCAAATGTGCTGTCGGGGGGTGAGAGACAGACAGACATACAAAGAAGGCTGAGAAAGTAGGGAAGAGGCCAGGCTAGACCAGATCTGATCATGGCTTTGGCAGTCTCCACGTAGAGGAATTGTTTCAACACAAACCAAACATAAGCGGAAGCCAGAAAGACACCAACTACGATCCAGTTCACGTACACTGACCATCCGTATTCCACACGAATCAGGGTGGGATCGTAGAGCTGGAATGTATTGCATCGAGAAAAATAAAACTGGTAATGTAGGTGTTAGCATTACATGTAAGAACTCAAGATCTGTCGCCTCAGGCAAACCTATTCGGAAGTTGAAAGACTAGAAAATTTGTCTTTTAGAGATCTGGTTGAGTTCTCTTTAATGATTAGCCTTAGGGGGAGACGAGGTAGGACAGGGTCGAGATTATTCTAGCGAATAAGAATGTGTGAGATTGGTGTCAATCACAGGGCCAGAGCACTCCTAGTGACTTCTTGATTGATTTGAATAAGATAAGGCTGGTGCATGTGTTTTTATACATGTCCATTTCCAAAATGTCAGCTCTGCATCGTATGAGATTGTCCATGATGTAGAAAATTTAACGACCGCACCTTGGAAAATATGGAGGCTTGATAATGAAGGAGGACAAAGTGAAACCACGCTACTTTTTTTGCTCTCTTTTTCTCCTCTTTCTCTTTCCATCTCTTTCCTATCCAAAACAACATGCATGCTTTCCCGCGGATGAGTTTAATGGCATTATGAGAAATATGGCCCGTAATGACAGACAGGAATCTCACATGGTTTGGTTTGGACCGAATAATCCATGTAAAGTAGGTGGTGAGCATATTGTGTGTGGATAGTCAACAAGAGATTCGTCAGCTCTATAAATGTTGGGACGAAGTCAGTTGAAACTACTTATATCACTGCAGTCCTTCGGCCACTAGTCGAGACTGAAGGCGCAGCATATCTCAGCTACGCCTGCAAAATTAGCAACACACACACAAACACTTTGACGTGAGGTCACTGCATCTCTCGCCCTGTCACACATTCAAGGAGGTTATCCACCCAACGAAACAGCAGGAGGGCAAACTCACATCAGCAGGGAGATTGACGACTGGGTAACAGGGTCCCCATTTCGACTGGATGTGATTCACCTTGATGTGCTCAATGCAGTTGGCAAATATAATGAACACACCTGAAGGAGAAATGGCGACAACATGAGAAGAATCATTGTCAATTTCCAGCTTGTTCTTATCTTCCACTATTTGTTGCTTTGTGCCGCTAATTAGACAAGTCCTCTGACACATTCAGCGTCCCACCTTATGAACAAATTCTTTATTTTGTAAACCAAATCATCTGGAACGCCTATTTGGATGTCGCTGATCGCCATACAAATGGAGGCCACAAGTCAGGAATTAACCAATAGCATTGCACATCAAGGACCTCCAAGTTATTCGCCTCCGCTCTTCTTACTAGTGTTATTGAAACTAGCCGTGAAAACTTAACCTGCAAAGATGCAGATCGAACGAATCGTAGTGGGTAGTGACACATGTGTGTTGTTTCAACACTGCTCAAGCCAAATAGACACAGATGAAAAAAATAACTGATTTTTATAAAATGCTCAATAGAAGTAACGTATTCTGATAAAACATACAAATGCAGAGAACGATTAAGAAGTAAACATTGAGTGCCAAATCAAAAACTACAAATGGGTCCTAGTCATTTAAATTGCCTCCTTAAACCAACCTCGTAACAATGGTAATGAAGCTGTCAAAACTGCCAAAGTGACAGGGTCGAGTAACAAGTGAGGGGGTGAACTTGCAGGCCGTGAGGTAGAGGTAGGCGTTGATCATGGCTGCAGGTACCATGCGAGCGAGGACGCTGACGGCGCCCAC